TGTTGTTGTTATGTGCCATCGAGTCGTTTCCGACTCATAGCAACCCTATGCACAACAGCCTTAAACCCTGCTCTGTCCTGCACCAAATGCACCGCCTCTGACACACCCATCCCGAGTACCCCAGTCACCGAATCAATCCATCTCATAGAGGGTCTTCCCCTCCTGCGTTGTCCCTCAACCCTCCCAAGCATGATGTCCCTCTCCAAGGACCCGTCCCTCCTGGCAACATGTCCGAAGTATGTCAGACAAAGCCCCAGAATCCTTGCCTCCAAGGAGTAGCTTGGTTTAATCCTCTCCAAGATAAATCTGTTTGTTTTCCTGGCAGTCCAGGGTACATTCAGTATCCTTCTCCAGCACCATAGCTCAAAAGCATCCACTCTCCTTCTGTCCTCCCTAGTCATTGTCCAACTCTCTGGTGCATAACAAGCGATTGCAAATACCATGGCCTGTATCAGGCGCACCTTAGTCTCCAGAGAGACACTGTTGCTCCTGAGTACTTTAGAGAGGTCCCTAACAGCAGACTTTCCCATCGCGATACGTTTTTTGATTTCCTGACTGCTGGTGCCAAGAGTGTTGACTGTGGAGCCGAGCAAACTGAAGCTGTGAACAATCTCAATCTCTTCGTCATCCATCCTGATGCTGCCAATTGGTCCAGTGGTGAGAATCTTTGTCTTCTTGACATTGAGCCTCAGTCCATACTGAAGGCTGTAGTCCTTGACCCTTCGCAGCAAGTGCATGAGGTCCTCCTCAGTTAGTAAATATATATTTATTATATACATAGTTTATTAAAAGCTGATGACACTTGACTAAGCAGCCCTGGTCGTGTAGCCTGTCATAAGTTGAACTGTTACCTGGAGGTCATTAGTTCAAACCCACCAGCTGGTCTGCAGGTGAGAGATGAGTAGTGTTCTGTAAAGATTCACAGCCTCAGAAACCTGATAGCGGGTCACTAGGCGTCAGAACTGACTCAGTGGAGGTGGGTTTGGTTTGGGCACCTACTTGATTCTCTGCCTTCTGCTCTTGTAAGAAGTGCTTCAGTGAATGACAGTATGCGTATTCCCTGAAAGGTAATGGCTGGGTCAACAGATAACATTTGTCGTTTGCCTGTTGTTAAGTGTTGTTGAATCAACTAGAGCTCACAGCAACCCAATGAGCAATGGCTCTGAACCCTTCCCTATCCTGTGCCATCCTTAACATCTCTGACACACTCAAGCCCGCCGTTACAGTCACGATGTCAACCCATCTCATTGAGGATCTTCAGCTCCTACACTGACCCTCTTCCTTTCCAAGCATGATGTCCTTTTCCAAGGGCTCGCCGGTCCTAACAACATGCGCAAAGAATTTGAGGTGAAATTTCACTATCCTTGCCACCAGGAAGTACCCTGTCTGCGCTTTCCCCAAGACTTCCTTGCTTGTCCTTTTGGCATTCCACGAGATATGTGGCACTCTTGCACAACACCACCACCACTTCTTCCTCTGTCCTTATTCTTAGCGCAGCAAGTGGTTGAAAAGATCATGCCTTGGCTCAGGTGCACCTTAGTCTTCAAACGGACAACACTGTCTTTTTCATTGGAAGTGCCAGATTATGCCCCCTCCGCCCCTCCTCTGCAACTGGCCCATTTGCAGGAATGGCTTAAATATCTGTGTCTTTGTAGACTCTCAACAGAAGCTGTTGGGATGAACATTTTAAAATGCCATGTTAAAGGTTTTTTGTCTTCCATCTAAAATGTATTAGAATAAAAACATAATTTACGCTTTATTTCCACAGACTCACAGGTCATACTTTGTTTCATGTTGAAATAGGTTTATTTAAGTAAAAACAGCATGAGTTAAATAAAGATGCCAAGTAAATAACAGTGTAAGTGATACATTGTTGTTATTGTTGTTAAGTGCTGTGGGGTCCACTTGGACGGGTGACACCTTGCCTGATCCTCTCACATCTTCCCCATCTCTGCCATATGCAAGCCCATTGTCTCAGTCCCTGTGTTAGCCCTGCCTCTTAAGGATCTTCCCCTCCTTATCTGACCTTCCACCTTTCCGAGAATGGACGTCTGCAGTAGTCTTCCCTCGTTTTGTGTTGTCACATCCACAAGGAATATATTTCATTGGAGGAAAGCTTTTCTCCATCCATATTATTAAGGGAAACTTGGAAGAGGCAACTCTTCCCTAACTGAATGCCTTCCAACCTGAAGGTGCATCTCTGACACTTCATCAGACGATGGTCCACTCTGGTCCATAGGGTTTTCTTGTTCCTGCTCATCTCTGGCACTGTATTGGACAATGTTATTCATAGGGCTTTCTAGGACCCATTATTTCAGAAGTGGATAACCAGTCCTGCTTCTTAGTCTGTAAGCTCTGCTGAAACCTGTCCACCAGGGGTGAGCCTGCTTCTAATACCAGAGGCATAGCTTCTAACTTCACAGCAACAGTCAGGCCACCACAGTAGGACACACCAGTGGGTGGTAGAGGTGGTACGTAGATATGAAAATTTATGAAGAAGACTCGTCTCAACTTTGGGGGGCATCGCCCTCACTGTTTTGTTCTCTTTGGAATATTGAACTCAAGAACTTTTTCTTCTCACGTGCTGAGTGATTTGCCATCACAATGCATCTCTGATGCTGGTACAGTTACCGTCACTGTTTTACAAGTAAGGGACTGTAGATGCTGTGAAATCTGGGCTATAAACTAATTGCAGTTTGTGTTAAAGTGAGGCCGTGAGTGAATTGCTGAATACATTTTATCCACATCCCATTGGCTCTGAGAGTATTTCCGACTGGTTTCTCTCTTTAATATTGTCCCCATGCCCTCCCCTCTCCTCGGTGCTGAGACTGTTTCCCACGGGACCTCTTCTTTAACTTTCCCTGGAGAAAACAGAGTGAGAGCCTTGTAGGGCCTGTGAACTCCCAGCGATGGCACGGCCTCAGATCAGCTGTCTGTTTTTCCTTCCTCCTTTGACTTCCCTTTTTTTACCTTGGTGCTTCAATTCTGCTTCTTCTTGCATCTCTGCCTTGGCTCAATTGGATTTTAACCCCTCTGTGAACAAAGCCACACAACCTGTCAAGACTGAGAGAGGCTTTCGAGGGTTTTGACTTGGGCACTTAAAAAATTTTTTTTAGTGGATTGGTGTTTCTTTTTGGCTTTTGATTGGTGGTTCCTTCCTCCTTAGTTGCTTGTGTGTGGAATCAGGTGACATGATTGCTAAGCTGGGGTCTGTCTGGCCCTTGATGTTCTGGGGTTTAGGTATCTCTGGCAAGGACTCTGGTTTAAAGGATGATGATCGGTCTCTTGTTCTTATCCTGTGTGGTCCTTCTGGTCGCACAGAGAGGAAGGGTGTTACCACCAACAACCCCAGTTCTGATGGGAGACCCTCCAGGAATGCTGAGGACCAACCAGGAGGCATCAGGTGTTGCTCATGTGTTCCCTGTCAGCTTCAGGGATTGGACTAAGTGGGATTTCAACCCTGACTCGCCTACTTACTTGCTCCGGGATCTTGGTTGAGTTGCCTCGTTGAGCTCTCATGAGGATTTAGCTACATTATGTGGATTACTTCACAAGGGACTCGATACTGCATGCTTAATGCACGTGTGTATGTTCAATGCATTATAATTTCACGATAATCACGTCACTCACCATTTGTCTAGCCACTGGTCATACTGTGATGGCATTTGTGCTGTTGCAAAAGGTGACAGAGTGGATTGGCCTCCTACCTGCATCTTGATTCTCAGGCTGTGCTCCAGTTCTTGCCACCTTCTAGCCCATGGGAACATAGTGAAAAGTGAGGGAGCTCATTGGCCAGACCCAATCACGTGACCATGCCAAGCTGCAAGGGAGGCTGGTAAATGTGGTCTCTAGGTAGGTGGTGATGCTCACTGCAGAAATGCAAGGGTCTTTTAACAAAAAGAACTAGCAGGAGAGGAAGACCCTCAACCAGGTGGACTGACACAGTGACTGCTGCAATGGGCTCTTGTGTGTCAGGAAGTGTGAGGATGGCGCAGGATAGAGCAGGGTTCAGATCTCCTCCTCCCATCCCTCCGGTTTATTTAAAAAACTCAAATACAAATTTGAACAAATTCTTTCAGTTTCCTTCACTCCCCCCATCAAATTGTATTTCACCCATTGATTTATCCCTCCTCCCCCTGCACATCCACATCCCTCTGCTTCCAGACTCAGATCTTTTGTTCACAGGGTCGCTATAAGTTGTACTTGACTCAGTGGCACCGCAGAACAACAATAACAAAAACAGATAATGATAGACAACTACTGACTGTGACACAGCTTACAGCCAAGAGATATTGAACTTCGTTCTGTAGGTGATGAATAACTGGCAGGTGCCCTTGACCATGGATATGTCGTGCTGAGGTTTGGGTTTATATCACCCAGGAAACTTGCGGAGTGGATGAGTGTGAGAGAAGTGGGAGCAAGGGAGGTTGGTTAATAGCTTTTCCTCAGTATTTTGTTTTGCTGTTTCTGGAATCTTTGCAGGAGACGGTAGGTTGAATTCTCAGGTGGTTCAGATGGAAGTAAGTTGTAGCGCAAACTGTTAATTAATAGCCCTTGAGGTTTCAGCAGAGAAGATTTCTGCTCGGCTAGAGACCATTTTCCCCAGGCTCCCTTGCAGCTGGATGTGGCCATGTGCCCATGTGTGTCCTGGAGTTAGAATGGAAGCAGTCTTAACTGGAGGGGAGGGGTGGACAGGGAGGAAAGGGCAATGATGAATGAATGGAAATGCAAAATCTCTGTAAATTTTTATTAAAACTAATAATAATAAAATAGAACAACAACAACAAAGAGGATGGAATCAGTCAGCTCTCTTGGTCGTTCAATCCTTCAGTGCCTAGGTCTCGAGCACCGTGTCTGGGTGCAGGACTCCGGTGCCAGTGAGGGCAGCATTGATGCTGAGAGCCTCAGTTCACAAGACATTCTCCAGGGACACTCAAGGCAGCGTGACCCTTGGTCCACATCACCAACCCTGGTCTCTTCTCTCTCTCTCTCGGCTCTAGGACCCCCGAAGCAAACACAAGTTTAAGATCCACACCTACTCCAGCCCCACGTTTTGCGACCACTGTGGGTCCCTGCTGTACGGACTCATCCACCAGGGGATGAAATGCGACAGTAAGTACATTTGGTCTTAGGCCACTTTACAGTTTGGGGTCCAAGTGTGCACAAATTCCCCAAGTTCTAGAAATTAATTAGTTCTATTATTACTTCTGGTTCTATTAATTAAAAGTCTATGCTTCCACTTCTAAATGCAGTGGCTTTAAACTCTCCCCGTTAACGTAGCCCACGCTTCTGGAAGGCAGTCCTTGGGCTGAGCTCAGCTGCCCGGGGCTGGGCTTGGCTCTTGTATGTGTGTGATGGGTTACTGTGTTGGCCGGGGTGTGGCTGACCTCTCTTCATGCACCTGGAGGATGGCCGGCTGCCAGCTGTGATGGACATGATTGGGCCATGTGTCCTTCATCTGCAGCAGGCTGGCTTGGACGGTCTCCCATGGAGCAAGCAGGGTTCCAGTTGCGTTAAGAGGACACAGCCCATGCCAAGCACTTTTCAGGGGCCACAGTTGCTCCTGTTCCACTGACCACAGCACGCCACATGGAGAGAGTCACAGTCCATGTAGGAGGGGATGCACACAAGTGTGAATACAGGAAAAATCCCCTCAGTTAGTGTAAACACTAGTGTGCGGGACAGAGACATTGTTTGTGTGGACAATGGCCACCTCCCTCCAGTGCTTGGAAGTCTGTGCTAGGTGATGGGAGAAGAATTCCCTGGCCAGTGCTGGGTAGGGAAAGGCAAGCAGGGGAAAACTCCTGAGTCTTATTAAACAAAGGAGTGAATGAGCTCCAGGGCAGGACAGATGGCTGTAAAGGCACAGGTATACTGGTTCATGTACTGGTGCTTCCAGAGGCCTGTTATCCTCAAGCAAGTGGAGGCTTAGAGGATGGAGGGAGAGACCATGGAGAGCAGAGAAGACAGAGCAAAGAGGGAGTGTGGACTGGGCTGGAAGAGAGAATAGAGAGACTCAAACTCAGTCCTGACGCACGAATAAGGACAGGCGCAGGGAGACAGACAGACAAACGGGCACAGATATCAAGAGACAGACATTGGGAATGAAAGTGACACAGGGAGAAATGTCCATCCAGGCACATGCAGGGCTATAGAGATGGAGAGAGGTCAGAGAAAGTGAGTACAGAGAGACTGAGACAGGACATTGCAGAGGCCCAGAGAGACAGAGACACAGACTTGAGTCTGAGAGCTAGAGACCAAGACTGAGAGGACCAGAGCTTGGGCGAGGCACACAGAGAGACAGTGAGAGAAAGACAAAGTGACAGGAACAAGAGTGAGGACAGAGAATGAGCCAATCTGGTAACAGTTAAAGCCAAGGCTGTGAGCCACACAGGGAGCAGAGATGCAGCAGAGAGGCAGACAGGCCCACTGACCCGGAGAGAGGGCCACAGGGACACGTGCAGGAGGCCGTGGGGCAGCACAGGCAGCCGCCTAGGATGCAGGCGGGTAAAGGAGACACGCCGGAGCTTTTACCTGCAGGGTGCTGGTGTCTCCCGCTACACAGGTGCCTGAAAGCAGGGTGATGCCCAAGCCTCAAAACCAGGGCAGGCTGCAGGGGGTGCCAGGGCCCCGGGGATGGGGGGTGTGCTCTTCCACTCTCACCATCATCCTCTCCCTGTCAAGTTTCCCCAATTCACCTGAATTGTGACGTTTCCTTCTGCTTCTGCTTGAATGGCTGAGAAGGAGCTCCCTCAACAGCCCCTGTGCTGGGGAAGCCAGGCCCCCAGTTCCTGAGAAATGCCCTGAAATGCCAGTGGAGCGAGAGCTCTGGAGGAATTCACGTTCTCCTGGAGCCGGTGCCTTTCTGGCGAGCTTGGGAAAAATCAGCTGAACAAACACAGATACACTGCTGTTATTGTTAGGTGCTATGAGAGCTCTAACTCATGGCCACCCTGTGTAGCCTCACACTCTCTCCTGCACTTACGTCTGTTGTTGCAATCACTGTGCCAGTTCATCTCCTTTTTGCTGATTCTCTACTTTTCCTGGCATGATGTCTTTCTCTCCATGCTTTGGTGCCTCCTGATAAAAGGCCGATAGTATGTGAGACAAAGTGTCATCATCCTTGCTTTAAAGGCACACTCTGGCTACATGGTTTCCAAGACAGCTTTGTTTGTTCCCCTGGCAGACCATGGGATATTCTATATGGTAAAGCACTAGGGAGCAAAGATGTCACTTAAAAGACTAAGGTACACCTGCACCAAGCCATGGTATTTCAGTTGCTTCATGTGCACATGAAAGTTGGATCATGAGCAAGGAAGACCAGAGAAGGTTTTGAATTGTGTCAGTGAAGAATACTGAAAACCTTGCAGAAGAGTGTACAAAGTGAAAAAACCCTCAAAACTGGTAGATTGGGGCAAATTATATTTAGTCTGTATTGCGTTTAATTTTTTAATTGATGTAGAAACATTTGTGGTGGATACTGCAGTGTCCCACTCAGATCCCCACGTTCTATTTCCCAGCTTCTGTTGAGTTCCATCTATGCCTCTCCTTTGAACTTGACCTTAACAATAGAAAACTGCCTCACCCAAGGAGTGTCTCATAGTCAATGACTGACCAGTGCATGGAGCAGAGGCCCAGCCTTTGTCTCCATTTGGGGCAACTCTGGAGGATCGTACCAATGGGAACCCCAGTTTCAGGCAAATTCAGTTGCCGCTGCAGGTGGGGCCAAGGTCTACCCCTGTCCAATACTCTTTCCCTCCCTCCCTCACTGCCTTCGTGAGTAGCTTCCGGAAGCTACCCTATAAATCTTCTACTTCCCTTCCCAGAGTCCACTTCCCAGGAAACCCAGGAAACCAACTAAAGTAGCTGTGAGTATTTAAAACATCAGAAGATGTCACCACAAACATCTGTTTCTTGCTCGCCTTGAAACACAGAAACCTCAGCACCTTTGACCAGAGCTGGACCTGCCCCTCAGCTAACAGGGTGTTGAGGGGGTGATTCTGGTTTCTGAGCATTGAGGATGAGTGACCGCATTAGACTACACCCTTAGCTGCCTCTGAGGACAGACTGTCTCTTTTGCCTACCAGGGTTTGGTGGGGAGAGCCTGGCATGGCCAGTCCACCTCAGCCAGCCTTGCTCTTGCCCTGGGGAACCGCAAGGGTCCATTGAGACCCTGGGTGGGTGTGGATGCTGCTGCACCAGCCCGCCCCACCTGCCTCTCTCTCCTTGCAGCCTGCATGATGAACGTGCACAAGCGCTGCGTGATGAACGTCCCCAGCCTCTGTGGCACCGACCACACGGAGCGCCGCGGACGCATCTACATCCAAGCCCACATCGAGAGGGAAATCCTCATTGTCGTCGGTAGGTACCCGGGTTCCGGAGCCTGCTCCCCACCTGGCTGTACGAGGAGGGCCTGGCTGCTGGAAGATGGAAAGGTTGCCCAGACTGGTGGTCGCAAGGGGCCCTGGGGGTGTTGGAGACACACACACATACACAGAGCCTTCAACCTCTTCTTTACAGCCCTTCTCACCACCGAGCGCTGCCCTCAGCTTGGAGTAGGGCATGGATCTTCTGCTTCCACAACCTTCTGCTTCTCCTCTCTTTCCGCTCACTCCCCACTCTTTCACACAGTACTTGGGGAGTTTGCAGTCCAATTTCCTTTATAAAGAGAGAGGCTTCTTTCACTGGTTTCCATGGGGAATGTGTTAAAGATAAATGGTGGATATGGGAAATGGAGAGGAGAGGAAGGAAGGGGGACTGGACAGCAGAGGGCGTGCTACCCAGGGAAGCCCAGTTCTCCATTGTTTTTGATTTTCTTTTTAAACAAGATATTTTATACTGCTTTACTTACAAAGTTTGTGTACGTTATTTTTTACACCAAATCTTTGCAATTTCTTTAACCCAGCCCTCCCTCCAACTATCAAATTGCATGACCCTATGATTACCCCCTTCTCTCCGCCCTGCACCCCTCCTTCCCCCCTTAGATCCTCATACACGTTTTACTAGTTATGTTTCTACAAACCATACATGTTTTACTAGTTATCTGTCTCTACGATGATGGGCTTTGAAGGTCTTTCCTTAACCTGATGGCAGTTGAACTGATCCTTATCATGACACTATTTGCATATCTGAAACGTGTCATTCTAATAAGAGGGGCGGTATGACGGGGTTGTTGTTGTTGTTGTTGAGGACCATGGAGTTGGAAACTCATAGCTGACCCTCCAGCGGGTGTTTAGAAGCTGTAAATGGTCTGGGAGGAGATTGTCCCGCTTCTGCCTGTGGACCAGTTGGTGGACTAGGGCACCAGAGCTCCATAGGCGGGTAGAGAGGGCACTGGAACTAGGGGAGCAGATGGGGTGTGTGACTCCCACTTTTCTGCGAAGCTCATGTAAAAGTGAACCCCAGTGGCGTTGGACTGGTAAGTATGCAGCGATAAAGCCCCAGGGGGAGCAAATGAGAATGTGGAAGGAATCCGCCCTCCCCGGGATAGGACACTAACTGCGTTTGACGTGATAACAGAATCATGGAAACAAGGTTGTACAGATGGGCAAATTTAGGATCTTTATCAAGGAGGGGTTAGATTTTTCTAGGGGAAGGAGAAATGCTTGTTTTCTGGGGATTAGAGAGGTTCAGCAAGCTGGAATGGGCTGTGAGGGTCTTGATCCACAACATAAGCAAAGTTGCAGTCTATTCCTGTAAAAGATAAATTCCGTTTTAAACAGCTTCTGGAGGCCCAGAGTGCTTCCCATTGCATTGTTCTTTCCAGAGGAAGGCGAATGCTGGCTCTCCCAGCGGGAGCTGCCCGGTCTGTGGGAGGAATGAACGGACACTGTTCAAAACCTCTTAGTTGACCCTTCCAGTGGATTTTCAGAGACTAACGATTGCACTGGAAGGAACTGCCCATCTTTCTCTAGAGGAGTTTGTGGATTTAAACCGTGAGGGAGGCTCTGCCTTTAGGGTGGCAGCCCAGCTTCCTAGGGGGCTGTGCCACACAGTCTTTGCTGGTTTTTGTGCCCCCTCAAGTCGGAACCAACTCAGAACTGGGCACATATGGAAGGAGATTGCCCATCTTTCTTCTGCGGAGCATCTGGTGAATCACTATCACATGCCTTTGGGTTGGCAGTGCAACTGCACTAAGCCACTGGAGCTGCCTACAGTCTCTTGTTAACTTTCTGCTTGGTTGAAACGTCCTAATGCTGTAGGAGCAAAACATGATGCTTCTCTGCCCTCTAGCGCCCTGCTTGAGGAACTACACCAGTTTAATGTTTGTGGAATTCGTTGGTGCTCAAAACCTCAAGTGTTCTTTCTTCCAGTTTTCATGACTCTTATACAATATCTAGTCTCATTCTCTGGAGACGAAGGTGTGCCTGATGTGGGCCATTGTCTTTGCAATCACTTACTATGTGTCAGAGAGCTGGACAATGACTAAAGAGGATAGAAGGAGAAACTATGCCCCTGAGCTGTGGTGTTGGAGATTTGAATATACCATGGACTGCTAAGAAAACGAACACGTTCATCCTAGAGAGGGTTAAACCAGAGGCGGCAAGGATTCTGAAGCTTCGTCTGACATACTTTGGACATGTTGCAAGGAAGGACCAGTCCTTGGGGAGGGACATCATGCACGGGAGGGTGGAGACACAACGTAAGAGAGAAAGACCCTCTGTGAGATGGATTGATTCAGTGACTGGGGTAATGGGGGTAGGTGTGTCAGAGACAGTGAGATTGGCACGGGACAGAGCAGGGTTTAGGGCTGTTGTGCATAGTGTTGCTATGAGTCACAGGTGACTCGACGGCACACAACAACAACAGTCTCATCCTCATCTGTGTGCAGACTGGGGCTCTGAGGAGTTAAGGCACCTCCATAAGCTCTCACCATTGGGCTCTGACTCATGAACAAATCTTGCCCAATCCTGCTCTGTCTTCACCCGGTTTGCTGGCTTTGAGCCCTTTGTTCCAGCCTCTGTCCTTCCACTTCCTCTCTGTCACTGTCCCTCGACTTTTGCCAGCATAATGTCATTTTCTAGGGACTGATTCTTCCTGATAACATGCCCAAAGGCTGGGAGACAGCCTCAGCTCCTTGCTTCCAATGAGCATTCTGACTGCACGTCTTCTGAGAAAGATCTGTTTGTTCTTTTGAACATCCATGGGGTACTAATCCCTCTCAAGCACTTAGCGAACGGTCGCTCCCTTTTATTTAACGTGCCGGTCATTACAGGCATGCGTCTGTTGACAGTTTTCAACAGCTCACATGCACTTGAGCGTTAGAATCATTCACAAGGTCCATAGACAGTTACGCTGCTAGGACTAAGGGGGAGCCTCTCTGGCCATTTGTATCCCCTGAATGTGCAGTGCTGGTTGTTGGGGAGCTGTTGGGGGAGCGGGAAGATGGACAGTCCCCTTCTGAGTGATTCACAGCCATGGAAACCCAACAGAGAGGGTTCTGACTTGACAGCAGTGAGTGAGTGACCCTTTCAGGAAAGAAGTCCCCGGGTGGCGTACATGGTCAACACCCAGTGTGGTCTAGAAAGATCTGGATATCTGCTGAGGGACAGTTCACCACTTTGAACCCCAAAGAGCCCCATTCTGCTCCAGCAAACACAGGCCATCATCGTGAGTTGTGACTGGCTTGACAGCACCTGGTTCACCCATCAGGAACTGGTCTTAGAGAGCCACACATTTGGTCACTTCCATCTGCTTGACCCTTAAGTACTTTCTTTCTTCCCCCCCCCCTTCTTTTTTTTGTATTAATTTTACTGAAAGTTAACAGAGACTTAGGGTTTCCAGTCATTCATTGTAGCACTTTTCTCCCTGCCCCCCCCCCCCCGCTCCTCCCCCAATTAACGCTTCTCCTTGAAAAGTAAAGAAAAACTCTTTCATTGTTATACAGTTCCTCCCCCGGAAGTCCATTCCACTGTACAGCCTTCATTCTGGACTCTGGTTATGACAATAATACCTAATCATATATCCCTTTTAAATAGCTCTCTCCCTCATCTATTTCAATGCAGTATATACATCATTCATCCCTTCCTTTTCTGTCTTCCCTCAACCCCGATGTCAGTCCCATTTTACAACAGTGGCCCTATGCAATATTTATCCTTTTGTGACCGAGATATTTCACTCAACATAATGTCCTCCAGGGACTCTTAAGTACTTTCTTAGTTAATTTTCATTTTTGCTTCATTTCTCCCACTTTTATTTATTACCCCCTGTGATTTAAGGAGAGAACTTCTGTGAACATTCCGTAAGGAGTTTATGTTTCTGCAAAGTAGGATATAAGATTCCTTCATATCCAAGGTCAAGGTCTTATCCCTTGATCATAGATACAGTTGAGCCCTTGACCATCTTCATTGCAAACTGCTATGAATAGTTGTGAACTATCCAGCTGTGAATAGAAGGGGAAGGAGGGTGTCTGGAGTAACCTGAAAGTTAGCTTAGAATATTTGCATGCTTAATTATGAGTCTGATGACATTGATAACAAGAAAAAGAGGACTTTGCCAGGAGCCTCGGTGGAACATTGGTTAAATGCTCAGCTGCTGTAAGTCAGCCAGGACCTGGTGGGTGGATCTTTGTAGTTAAAAGTCGATTGGGCCCTGACTAAATCTCCAGTTCGGAGGCTCATGTGTGAAGCAGTGAGATTCTGGAGGGTAGGTTCTCTTGTTGTAGTTAAAAGTCAGGTGTAAAATGTTTGGTTTGTTTTTATTTCAATCATAACTATATGTGAGCTGATTGGTGCCTGGATTTACCGGGTTTAGCTACCAATCAGCTGTGGGCTGGAAACCTCTTAAGTCAATCAGGACCTTGTGGGTGGCCCTTTGTATTTAAAAGTCAGTTGTTGGTGAGATTATAAAACGGTACAACCACTCTGGAAGGCAGCTTGGCGCTTCCTCAAAAAGCTGAACATAGAAATTCTATGTGACCCAGCTATTCCACTGCTTGGAATATACCCTGAGAAAATGAGATTTGAGGCACAGAGTCTTGTACCCCAATGTTCACAGCAGCATTATTCACCATCACAAGAGCATGGAAACAGTCTAGATGTCCAATCACAATTGAATGGATTGAGAAGTTCTGGTACATCATACAATGGAATACTATGCAGCACTCAGGAGCAATCATTTTGTAAATTACTGCCTAATTTGGGAGGGACTGGAGAGCATTATGCTGAGTGAACTAACTCAGTCCCACAAGGACAAATATTGTATAAAACCATTATGGTGGAGCTAGTAGGAGGATCCAAGGAGGGGAGGTGCTTAATCATAGGGTCACACAATTTGATGGGTGGTGGGAAGGATCGGTAAATGAAAGGGGAAAGATCAGTGTGAAAAACAATGTATACAAATTTTATGAACTTTGTATGTAA